CCACGTTTCCCTAGTTCTATTCCCGATCGGATATTGTGTATCACTTTGTGAAAGTTATTTGATATTCGGGGTCAGGTTCTAACTTGTTCTTGTCTCGAATGTCTTTTCGATGTGTCGTATAAGCTTGTTTAGTCTAGCGTTTCGGTATTAAACGTGAATTCGAGGGTAGTATTGAAATCTGATGTCGATAAAATTTAATAAACATTTAACACTAGTCTATACCTATTTTACAGTAAAAATGTCTCAAGTTCTACGTTGGTTTCTCTGTTTGCAAACAATTAATTTAATACATTTCAATAACTTCAGTGATAACACAATGAGTAATGTTAATATTATTCGCTTTACTTAACACAATATGATACACGTAAACAATATTGTTAGGCTTTTACTAATTAGAGACATTTAAGATTCGATCTAACTAATAAAAGAGAAAACTAATTCATTCGTTCTTTTTCAAATTAGTACGAGATCCTGAAGATAGTTCATAATATGATGTAGCTATTACCTTATTTTTAATTGTAAGATGACGCTTCTTATCATAATATGAACTACTAAACCACAAGGCAGATAGTTCTCGGCGAAGTAAGTGCATTCTGGACACAAGTGCTTCAAAAATTCCTAAACAGCGTCGTCCGTTAGAAGTAGATGAGCGGACGAAGATATGATGCAGCATACGCTCAAATAGTGTACAACGTGTGTGGCATTTATTGGTGACCTGATTTAAGGTCACGAAACCGCATTTTTGCTCCTGAGAAATCACTATACCGCGAGAGATCACAAACCGGGAGAAATGGGTTCACGATGATCCTATGAGCGAGACTCCGATGTGTTGGAAGTGCGATGGCTAGTTAGGATCCTATTTAAACCATCTTATTTGCTTGTTGTGAGGATCTCAAGCAGAGTTATCACTAAGAGTTTGGGCAGGTTGTTGGGACCACTGTGGCCGGTCCTTTACACAGTCCGATATGGAATAGGTATTAGCGACGACAATACCCTGGTACTAAGCCAGAGTGCAACAATTGCTTTTACTTCTAGTAGTGGTGTCCCTTGTAGTGGTTCCTTTCCTGCTCATTTCTAGTTTTATCATTCATAAATATTTCGCACTGTGGATTTTTACTACTTTATGTTGTACCATTCATAAAATGTAGCTGTCTATATGACTTTCATTAGCGTAAATAGGTAAACGTGGTCACGGCTAGCAAGTCCACAGATTACTTCTGTGTGCTTAGTGCGAGTTTTTTACGTTCTCGATAACGTAAAAGTTAACAACAGCGCCCCTAGCGGCAAACGAAAGGAAGCTGTTCCAATTCCATATAAATTTGAGTTAACTTTTACGCGATCGAGAAGTTAAAAAACTCGCACTAAGCATACTGTATGCATATAAATGTACCTATACTCGTGCACAGCGCAAAATCGTAGAAAGAAATTGTATGTAATAGTACGTTACATACAAAACCAAATATAGTATTTGGCCTTCGAACCAGTTCGCAATGACAATTTTTATTATGCGCCTACAAACGATCACATCTTAATTGGATCATTATACAGCATGACATTGATGTTTCGCGACTGAATCGTAAACACGACTGTATTTATGCAACTCAATCATATTCAATATGAATCAAATTTCAAGAAATTATTGCTTTTTACTGGTCGTACTCTGATATTTTTGACACTCTTCTTATTTTTGGCCTCAATTAATTCGAATATTTACCTTTTTAGTCTCATATCGTCCTTCATCGTACGTAACACCATAAATATATAAAAAAAAATTATTTCGCACGTTACGAATAAACATATTCATACAATTTGAATGTGATCATATATAGGAAACCTCCACGCACAGTAAGTAGTACGGGCTGGTATCTACAGACATTAGACTGATATTGACTGAGTGTATCATGTACAAGCACGTTTTCGTTGGCTAGGTAAAGGTTCGTAAAGTAATCAAACATAAAATAAATAAATAAACGTTTTATCCAATCCAAAGGGAACTTTGAAAATCACTTGGAAAATATTTAATAGGCATTTTTCAACGTAGCTAAACCTTTTTTTCTATTTAGATTTAGATTAGAAGAGTCTCGAAAACTCCTAATGGTAGCTTTAATGTACGAAAAATGACAACGTATTGTTATACTAAATCAACTGAAATTGCTAAATTGAAACTGATTGAAGATGTCTGTTGAAAAATGAACCACAGAGGTTACAATGAATCAATTTACCAAATAAACTTTGATGTGATTTAAATCCGATATATTACAGTTGATATCACTATTCGTTTCTTTTGAGCATTATACATCGTATATTTATTATTACACGTTTTTTTCTTTGTGTATCTACTTTTTCTCCAGTGACGGTAGTTTAATATTTTTTTCGGCTTTCCCGAGGCTATCTAAGACACAATTAAAACCACTCTTCTGACGAGTTTGTTAATGAAGCCTTGTCTACCGAAAATAAATTAAAAATAGTTTTTGAAAGGCCGGAAATCATAAATTAAAATTAATAAGCGCGAGAGCAAATCATAAAAGGAAATTTTGAGGATTTATGAGGGTAGTTAGTTTTATGAGAGAAAAACAGTCGTAGAATGAGTTCACCTCATTCGGGTCAACTCAAGAATTGGGAGCAGCATCATATGTGCAGTACTCGATAAGTGTAGACTAATGAAGATTTGTTGAGAGGGATAGAGAAATAGAATATAAAATATCTACAATCCAAACTCGCGTATCTAAGTGATGTCACTTTATGGGATAAATTACGTCACCACGGGAACCGTTTTTTATGCCGTTTATGATATGACGCAACTTAAAAGAAATGCTTATCTTAAACGATAAAGTTTATTACTAAAAAAATTCAGTAAGAGAATCGTATATGCGAAACCAAATTTAATTGATGCTTTATGAACCGAATCAAAGTATCGACAATCGATATAATATCAATCAACATTAAACGACTTAGACCTTCACACATGATTGGAGCTTCACGCTTATTGTTCATTTTAAAGGGTTGGCATAGATTATAAACTATACAATGGGAATACACATTTTTATGACCAGCCTGCCGAGCTGCATGCCGTTGTCGCCCGTAAACATAAGCAACTGAATATGTGAAGTTTTTTTAAATAATCTTTGCCCATCTGCTGCTGCTTATACTATATAACAGATATAATGTCTGCTTGGATTGATTCCACACGAGTTGATACCGCAAAGCATATTATGCGTTGCGGTTCTGATAATAGGATACCAGTTGTTCAGATGTAATCGAAACTTGGACTTTGTCTCAGATGGTACGCGGCTATTAGTTATCCATTGTGATGTCTACTTAAACGTGACCAAAAACATTTAAGACAAAATAATAATATGAACTCAATGTACGAATTAGTTTAATATTATTGGCGATTGATCTTACTATAATTTCTTTATACGCATCTATACTAATATTATAAAGCTGAAGAGTTTGTTTGTTTGTTTGAACGCGCTAATCTCAGGAACTAGTGGTCCGATTTGAAAAATTCTTTCAGTGTTAGATAGCCCATTTATTGAGGAAGGCTATATATAGACTATAATAATATAACATCACGCTAAGATAAGAGCACCAATTAAGAATGTTTCAAAATCGGGTTTTTTTTTTCTAATCCCAANGTTTGTTTGTTTGTTTGAACGCGCTAATCTCAGGAACTAGTGGTCCGATTTGAAAAATTCTTTCAGTGTTAGATAGCCCATTTATTGAGGAAGGCTATATATAGACTATAATAATATAACATCACGCTAAGATAAGAGCACCAATTAAGAATGTTTCAAAATCGGGTTTTTTTTTTTCTAATCCCAAATCACTTCAAGATAGGCTTGAAAATTATAGTTTTTTGTGAATTTCTCCAGGATCCCATCATCAGGTCTTGATGATTACAGGGCAATTCGAAAAGTCTACCCTTTTTGAACAAAAATAGAAAAGAGAATTATCAGAGTCGGTTCAAGCATTCTCGAGAAATCGGTGAACCTACATAAATAAAAAATAGCTTCCTCTTTTGAAGTCGGTTAAAAAGCGTGATTTTGGTACCTTAACATTCTATTATTCAAAAATATTTTCACTTTCTACGTAAATGAAGTCGCGGGTAAAATTTTGCGTTATGCTAAAGTAACTATTCCACGCGGATGAAGTCGCGGGCAAAAGCTAGTAGATAAATATGAATAAACGATCTTAACTTGTTCTAAGGGTTTTATGCAAGACAATCAGTAATAAAAATATCTGATAACCTTTTAATTAATGTAATTATTTAAAATTGAATTCGGATTTTTTTGACCGAGATAAATCTTAAATCTGTTCCGAATCTTATTGTAACAATCACACAATATCTATCTTTAATCGCCTATCAACTGCCATTTTATTGATTGGCGCAGTTTCATGGTTCATTATGTTTTTTCAAACTGTTATTTTATTTGCTAGCTAGAAGACTCCTCATTAATTAATTCAATGAATAGTGTTGAATTGTAACTTAACCAATTACCACATTTTAAAATATAGACTTTAAAAAAGATTTTAACTGACTTGAAACTTGTAAATAATGAAAGCACATTCCGCACCTTTAGAATTGAAGTAGTTTAACTAGAAATTTTAAGAACATCAGTTTTATACTTTGAACAACTTATAAACGTGTATTCTACAAGTTTATAACGTTAATTTTTTTTAATTAAAAATGAAATATAAATTTAAGTTAGAAAATAACAAAGTATGTACATTTGTCGTCTCTTTTAAATCAAGCGCATACTTTAAGGGATGCGCTTTAGGTCTAAGGTATGCACTTAAAGTTTTAAAATCAAAACTGAAATGTTACAATTCTTCAATTACAATCTTAGCGTTTACCAAAAAATAAGAATTTTGGATTAAGCCACTTCAACTCTAAGGATGCGATTTGTTTATGCCCAGAAATGGTTCAGGGGATTATGATCAAATTTAACTAAGCCATTTCAAAATCATCTATTAGTTGCAAAAAAAACTTTCCTTACTTTTGAGGATATTGTCTAATATAGCATTAAGTTTCTTCTCTAAGCTTAAATATTCACTGTCCTCATTTATTGGCCAGTCACAAGACAGGTTCCAGTCGATTATGTCCACTTTCTGCCCTGAATCCTCTGGTAATTTGTACAGCCTGCGGAAAAAATAAAACAGTCTTCAATATTTTCGATTGCCAACATTTTCTTTTTATTTATTTAGAATAAGATAATTTTTGTTCAAAAATGCTTACAGATGTCAACTAAGATTTGTCACAACTATTTTGTGTGGATGTTGTAATAAAAGCTTGTTACTAAATCAGATTTCAGATGCACAAAAATATAGATATTTATTTTTAGGTTCAGCAGTAGGCACCATGCATTAGCATAGCATTTTTGACATTTATGAGCGACATTAACCATTCATCATCTGATGAGCTGAATCCTTATCTGCCTGTTACGTAAATTAAAAAAAAATAATAATTAATGTTTGCCTTCCTTTTTCCATAACAAAAAATTGTCTCCTTATTTGTCATTCAAATAACAATTATCACTAAATTGTTATCTATTATCAATAGAGTATAAACTTCGATAATTATACTTATAATGGAATTTCGAATGTAATTCATGTCATGTAAATTATGCATAAATTCATATCTTATCATTTTGATAGCAATGGTTGTACTCTTTTAATTTTTTATTATAATATTAACATCTTACTAAGTAAATGTTTGTTATAATTTCAGTTCAACAATCAGAAGATACAGTTATGTGACCTCAATTTTCAAAAGTTACTATATCTGCTATGGTGCAGAGCAGCCTTCATTTTATTGTCACTGTTAGCTCTAACTATTCTGTGCTGTAAACTTTTCTACCCATCTAACACTAATACTAATTACAGGTGAATTTTTCATTATTAACAAATTATATACTTTGCAAAGTGAATAAAATTTTCAAAGTTCTGGTGACTTAGTTTTAGTTTTAATCAACAATCGGAACTCCAAAATGAATAAAATTGGTGCGTTTGCTTTAAATATTTTTTTACATTTGTTCCTGTTAATAGCAGACTAAGTTGAGATTAAAAGAAATATGGCACAGGTTAGACATGCGAATGAGTTGCCCGCCCACCTGGCATTAAGAAGTTAATGGAGTTCATCAACATCAACAATGTAAATGCCAGCACACTCTTTGAGACATGTGCTAACTTTCAGTTTTATGCCCTAAACCCTTCAAACTGGAGTGCATTACTGCTTTGGCACAAAAATAGATAGGGTGAGGTAGTGATCCCTGCTAATGCAGGCTCCAAAGAAGCACTTCCACTGATAAAAAGTCAATATTTGCCTATTCATTATTTTTAAATAACTTCTAACATTGTTACATTGTATTGTTGTTGTACAAAGTTTATTTTTTAAGATGAATACATGATAATTTTATTTACATTTAGTTTTACTAGAATCGAGTATTTAAGTATATTGATTGAAAACTTCAACCAATCTTCATGTAAGGTTCATTTAACACCATGAGATACATAATAAGACTCAATTTTTTCATTAAGTTGAACACCATACCGGAATATAAAATGTTTAGTTTGAAATAAATAAATAAAATGTATGACTAAAGGGTTACTATTGTTAACTATAACAAATAAATGCTGTATGCATAATAGATGTGACATCAAGAGTTCTGTTCTAATGTTTGTTCTGTTTTTCATAAGCAATGACCACAGTAATTTAATTTTCAAATATATTAAAACATTAAATCCTTTAAACCTTTAATCATTCAATTAGCTCATCTCCCAGATTCATAGATTCAAACCAATTCTATGAGGTTTTTAATTACTAGTTGGACTATTATTTTAAGAAAATTATGTATTTTATGATAAACATTGTGTTTACTTTTCATAGTAAAACATTTGTTTACATTTCTCATAATAGCATTAAAACTGACAAATTATTAATAAAATATTGTTATAATAAACAATAGAAGTGTGTCATATTGTAGGTACCTATATTATTGTTTACTTCAATTTTTTTCATTTTAATTGTAAAACGGTGTTAATAGATCGATAGTTTAAGCTGAGCATTATCTAGCAATACAAAGAGTGGTCATGAATCATCTCGGCACTGGTGACAGATGAGTCTCCTAAAATGTTTTCTCAAAACCTTTATGTTTGAAAATACAAAAAACGTATCTCATAGTGCTGAATCTTCAACTACAGGACTGACAGTTAACCGGACGTCGTACTAATGACCCTTTAAAGTGATGAGCTAAACGGACTGACTTTTGAAGTATATATCTCACAAGGTATTATCCTAAGAACTTACCATGTCTGATGATCGGAAAAATCTAAAGATTCCACGTCGATCAAATCAGAATCAAACATATCTTTGTTTATATTTTGATCAGCCTGATTCATAATACCAATGAACACGATACATCAATTTGGCACTTACACAAATCACATCTAAAATTTATGATAACAACTACATTTAATATAAGATAAACTGTATATATAAATAAGAAAAAAAATGTTTTTAGATTTTAACACGAAATTGTCCCAGAGAAGTTTGGAATTTGACATAATATTGAACCATCGACATTTTTTATTTAATTTAGTCGTCTGATCCATCGACAAACGCTGGAAAAGCTCGAACACAAATAACGGTAAAATTCAAAGACCAAAAGACTCATTTAAAGCAAAAAGTAGCAAATTTTACGCCGCGTTTAGTAATAAATATTTCTCTATCTGTTAGGGTCAGCTTAGAGCAGAGTAAAAATGCCAGACAGGGATAAACTTACAATTTCTACTCGAGCCTAACGTCTGTGTTCATGTCGATATTTTCGTAAACCGAATTAATTATGGTGTAAGGTTCTCATCAAATAATGAAACTTAAAGTCCCGATAAAAGAAGAAAAAATATAATGCATCCAACGAATTACCGTACGTCACAATAGATCGTCCACCTTGTGGAAGGCCTAGCCACATTAAATCTTCCGGTAAGCGGTAGTCATTCAAGAACTTTTCAGCCTTAGCGACCGCCTGTTTTAAGAACAATATGCCCTACCCACTGTCACTTCAACGTTGCAAGCCTTTGGGCTATCTCAGTGACCTTTGGTTTTCCTTCGAATCTCCTCAGTCCTAGGGAAACTTCGAGCATAGCCCTCTCCATTGTTTTTTGCAACTTCAAGCCTTCTGATAGCACCTATTGTGAGCGACCAAGTCTCAGGCCATATTATCAGGGGCAACACACACTGGTCAAAGACTTTTGTCTTGAGAACCTATGGTATTTCTGATGAGAAGATTCTATGTAGCTTTTCGAACGCTGTCTCCTCTTTTTCGAAGTTGGAACCACCTAGCTGGTTTTCCCCAAATAAATATACTCGATGATAAATTTGAGCGTAGGGCTTTCGATCTTTACTGGATACTGGACGCTGCATAGTCATTCAATATAATTTTCGTTTTTTTCATGTTCAGGATCAGCTATTCTATGAGAACGTAGTTGTTTTGTACAATGCCTGAAATCTTCTATTGTGAAGATTGGCATTATAGGTAAATCCATTTCATGTGACTGCTGCTGTTATGGAAAAGTATTCTAAGCAGCTGACTGTTTTATTTATGCTCTTATGTCTATATTGGATTTCACGTTAATAAAAATTCTTTAAATTGCAACTCAAATTGTTTTAAAATGGGTTTGCTTTTAGAAGAATCATTGTAACTATACATAGGTCAAATCTTAGGAGATCTTTTGATTTGCATGTTTCCTAAATAGCCTAACAATACACAACCATTGGCGTGTGAAACTGTTTGGTGGATACATGAGGTATAAAGCTATGTGAATTGCTTATTTTGTTAATTTAGGTGTAAACCTATAATAATGGTGGCTTACTACGCAATTAGCATCTGTAAAAGTGCATCAGAGTGGGAAATAAAGCAAAGTCTACACATGGCTTCTCGAATTTTTCCAAATTATCCTTAGAGGTTTAAAAAATCCTATTATATTACTGAGATTTTTTTCACTTCATTACACGCCGCATCTGTTTAATTTCATTTCATTTTATAATTCAATTTAATTTTCAAAATCGGGTACATTCTACTTTACCTGCTAATGGTTTTGTAAATAGAATGACTGAATGGGCTAGATTTTCCCTGTCGAATGTGTGGATAAAAACTATTGCATCAGACAACATTGACAAATGACAACTGTATGCCATAGACAAGTTTTTCGTTCGCAATTCGCATCCTTTTTGTCTACGCACACATTGTGAGCACGTTGTGTTTGGTGTAGAAATAGGATTAAACCGTAAAAATGTCGTCGTCACTGAACTGGATGATCATCCGCAACAACAATGCATTCCTTGTGAAGAAGCGCAATATCAAAAAGCCGTTCAGCAAGGAGCCGAACAATGTGACTAACCTCCACTCCTTCAGGTACAACGGCTTGATTCACAAGAAAGCCGTTGGTGTCGTGGAGAACCCTGACAGGAAGGGATTCACAGTAGTGTACAAGAAAGCAAAGGCTACCAGAAAGCCCGCTAAAAACTTAATCCGCCGTCCATTCAAGGCTGGTGCCAGGAGGTCACTGTACAAAGTGAAGAGGTTGTTAAAGGCTAACCACTACCGCACAGACCTATGCAAGGCTACCCTTCGTCGTGCTTCAGCCATCCTCCGCTCCCAGAGGCCCATCAAAGCAAAAAAGGCTAAGACAGCCGCAACCAAGTCGGAATAATTTGTAAGCGCTTAATAAATTTCTAAAAACCATCGATACAGTTTTATTTTTGCGTTGATAACTGTAAGTTAATTTACAACCTGTTATTATTCAATTTCTATAAAATAATGAACACAGAATGAGATTAATACCAAGGAAAACATGTGTTAACCATAAATTAATAACTTGAAAAATTTTACTTTACACAAAGCTAGGAACAATCACTGCTGAAGTTAATTAGCTATGCCAGCGTAACCGAGCGAGTAGGTGAGCTCTCTGGACTCTAACCTGGGGGCGTTGCTAGCATCAGCCATAGCAAGAGCAGTACTTTACAGAATTACCAGGGAACACGATCCACTGAGAAGTTTCAGGGAGTAACTCAGTGGGCTATGTCTAAGGAGTTAGTTTACTCGCCGAACTCTTTGTTCCAACTACGGGTTTGATGAGAACGGTGACAAGCGCTTGAGGTACCTAAAAGTACTATTAATGGATTGGGAGGATTCGAAATGACGTGAAATCTATGGTAATGCATGGATAAACACATCATGTGTGTGTGTGAGTCTATAAATGAACTGACCACTTAATATCTGCTTGACAAAAAACTTATGGCAAGGGTAATTGAGTGTATCAGTAAGAGTACTTGTTCTCCTTTTAATAAAAGGATTGCTATGTGGGGGTTGTATAAAGATAGACACACACTGAACTGAATTGTTACTCAACACATGTGCTTAAGTTCATAATTAAATACTTAATAAAACATAATAGAAATGAAAACAAAAAAAATATTTCATACATTATTTATTTTCAAAATACATGATTTTGTATCACAAATTAAATAAATATGGAATGCATAAATTACATATCTCTATGTGATTGATCTAAAAATAACACCATATACTTGCTAATACGAAATTGCCGATTGATATTTTTAATCTAATAATACTGCAAATCCCATTTCGATCATTCTCAAAATGTATTTCTAGAATATAATTTAATGTGTTTAATCAATAAGTGATGCATTATTGTAAGTTTGAAATGAATTATATTTATTATTGGATCATTCTACACTCAGGTAAATGTAATAATTAAAAATAGAGCAATCAAAACATAAAATTTGACAATTTGCAAAGATATTATTTAGATGTTTTAAATATTTTAATGGACATATTTTGATAACTCACAAACACTACTCTATACACCGATAACATCCTACATAGGTAATAAATTCTAACACATGTTTGTATTACCTAACATTTTCTTAAAATTACCTAAACACAGTACTTATCGAGGTGTAAAAAGCAATTTTTCTAAAGGTTGTTTTATCTATTAAAAGCTTCAGGTACAAAATACATAGTAGACATGAAAATAAAAGGCACAAACATTTAATTTTAACCTATTTTAAAAGGCACAATACACTAAAATCCATAATTAATTTATAATATGGTGAGGTTATATTTACAGTACAATAAATTGAAGTGAATCAATGGGTTGTGAACATATAGGATTATCTAAGTGCATAAAAGGATTTTCAGTCATTCACATGCGTCATGGAAATAAAACAATAATCACAAACAAGATATACGTCGTGTCTTGTGGATGCGGCTTGCAGTCAGCTTAGTGCAGTCTGTGTGCTTAATGAGAGTTTTTTAACGTTCTCGATAGCGTAAAAGTTAACTTAAATATAATTTGTATGCAGTTGTAAAGCTGGGTACTCACCTAGCTGTGTAGCACGTAACGTAACAGATACTGTATCAACCTGCAAGTGGGTACGGCTGGTCCACGGTCTACAGCATATCTAGCTACGAGTTGCCACGAGCACACTGCGAGCCGCCTTTGTGTTCGCAGTGATACCGCCACTCAGCGGGTCACTGCGAACTTGCTGCGCTCCTTCCGCGAGCGGCTCGCAGCGGGCTCGTGCCCACGTACTCACTGGATACTGTATCTGTTACGTTACGTGCTACACGGCTAGGTGAGTACCCAGCTTATCAGCACCCCTAGCGAGGGCCTAGCGACAAACGTAGGCAAACGTTCTAAGTACATAGAAATTTGAGTTAGCTTTTACGCTATCGAAAACATTAAAAAACTCGCACTAAGCACACTGCTTGAAACTTTACGGATCGTTCTTTCTCTTTTAATGTTTAAGGGCATATTGAATCCGGAAACAGAGCTAGCGTGCGCCCATACAAAAGCTCTACATCAAATCACAGCAAAGGATTTTAAACCTCCCTCCACAGCTTCAGTGAGAATCATCCAAGCGGTAAAAAGACAAGACGCACATCTTCATTTTACATACATATTACAAAAGTAAATATAGTTTATTATATTTTATCACCCTAAAAAGTTATTTTAGTATCAGAAACCTAGACCGGTATGTTATATTTTATCAATACAAATCTAAGATATGTTTAGAAATAAATTATGAAAGGCTAACATTCGTTAAGAGTTACAAATTCGACGAAGCGAAATCAGATATACACACATTACTTTTGTGATTTGACTTGCGTATCTTAATCCTAAATTACACATACATTATTTTATTCACAATTCACAAAACACTAAAAGCTCGTTGACGCACTCACATCGATTAACTTAAGAAAAGATAGATTGTAGATTTTACCCGCCATTTTGAAGCGGTAACACAAAATGGCGTTGACGCCGTTGACTTTGAGTTTATGATTAAATAAACGTAAAGCTTTGTGCTTATTAGGATACATTTAATTCCTGAGATCGTGGACAGCATCTACGTGTCACAGAACGCACAGCCCAACAGCCTCTTGTTTAATATCCATCATAACTGAAGAGTGTCGACAATATAAATACTTGTGGCAGACTTTAGTAGTGATATTTTTTTGTAATCAAAGACGTTGTGACCCATTGTTGAGGCGATTGAATCAAATGAATTCAAACTCTGTAGGTCGCCTTGATCTGCCTTTTTTCGGATTTAATGGTTTCAATGCCCCGATAGGTTTTATCTACGATCTCGTTATACATTTGAATGACACTAAAATTAATTCGTAAATATGTTCGTATGTTCGTCGTATGTTCTGGATTAATAGCCACTTGGGCAAACGTCGCGGGTATGAGGATTAGGTTAGATAGTTACGAGAAAATGAATATTGTCATTTTTAACGATTTATCGATCGGTTACAAAACTTGAAATAATCTTAACAAAATATCTTTCTACATGTGAATAAATGGATAGAGAGAGAGAGAGATGTGTTATTGAAAAGACTCCAGCGGCACGTAAACAAAAGGTTCCTTTGGTTTGTTGTTTGTTGCATCTTGACTTAATGTGAAGTTCGTTAAAACGTCCAAAGATAGATGCTCTAATTGCTATATGTGTCTAATGTATGTAGCAAGACATTGATTCCCTTTTTATTATTTGCGCATTGATAATATGCAAAGGGCCTGGAGATTGACAGGTTAAAAGGATCGATCGATTAAATAAATCTATGTCTGAGATTATTGTAACTTAGAAAGTATGTAAGTACGAATCCATTCATCAGCTTTAGGCATCCACTATTGGACACCGGACCCCAAGGTTCGCCATAATGCCCGCGTCCCAAGTTCAGCGAATTCCGGCGACCACAAATGGTTGGACCTTGCGAGAGGGCTAAAAACGATACACCCACCAATGCGCGGTCCCACTCGAGAACTTTATGGCCCCAGCGGCCATCTACGAGGAACGTGCTGCCCCCATAGTCACTTCACTTGTATACATTTATTTAAACCAGCCTGTCTCAAAGTGGACGATAACGCCCCCTTGTAGGCGCTGCAGTCTTAAAGGGGGTGGTAAGATACCCAGAAAAAAATGGGGGCCCTGTGTGGAGGCTTGGGAGGCGACTTGTTATTTCATCTAGAAGGACTTTTATACACCGACTGAGCTCTTGCTATAGTGGTTTTTAGTAGGTGAAAAAATGGGGGCGCTAAAAATAATTTATTCTCAAAGAGGGCAGTAGACAAAATAAGTTTGGGAACCCTGATTTAAACCCATTAAAAACTAATAGATAATACTGTTCTGGCAATTTTAGTACATTATTTCAGGGGCAACAAGATTATTCAAGGTTCACCCTGTTACGTGTAAAATTTAAAACTCATCAAAACAGCCTTTACTTCAACAAAAACCTGTGAATTCTTCACAAATATATTTCTACCATGATTTTAGTCCATCTTTTCCAAAAAATAAACTATAAACTAAATTAAATGACTAGTACATAGTGTAATGCGTCGATATTAGTCGGTACTTTGTACGAAGGTTTAACGTATGGCGTTTTTTTCTTTTGAACATAATTTACTTACGGTATTTTACGTATTTAATAAATTGAACTCAAGTTATAATAATGTCGTAAGAAGTGTCCAAATACTTGGACCGGAGAATAATTCCTTATAGAATACTATCGTAAATCAATTCCTAGTTCATAAACTTAGATAATAGATAATCGATTATTACAAGTCGATGAATGGCGAAAACATTAACACAACCTAAGTCACGACAAGCACCGAAATTAATTGTGTGCGTTTATTTTTATATTTAAATTGTTTTTATTACGACAGATGGCGAACGTAGCAATATTAGTATATTAGAAATAACCTTATCATAATAAACTTGCTTTGAAGTACCCATGTATGTTTATGGTTACTCTATAAACGTTTTCAATGAGACAACTACAGATGGTTAAGATGAAAGGGTCAAACAATAACACTGTGGAAAAATTGTAATAATCCCGTAATCAATATTTAGAGGTTAGTTAAACGGTGAAATTGTCTCTTGTACAAATATTCTTGTTAAATGAATTTTAAATGCGAATTTGAATACATCATGTTTACAAATCGAGCTACATTCGACGCCTGTTGGAATTATTTCAATTTAATGAACTAACTTAACTGTATGCAATTAAAAATATGGGGACATTCTAAACGATTTTATTGTGAGCAGTAGTTATGAATTTAAATGGTACTAATTATGTCAATTATATCAATGTAATCAACAAACTGAATATGCGAAAACGTAAGTACTGTACCAAAACACAACTATCCAACGATATATCCCGTGCTCAATTGTGTGTTAAGAGAAATCTTTGAGATACCCTCATATTCTTAAAAATTAGACAACATAGAACACAGGCTCATTCGCACGCCAACTTGCTATCAAAAGAACTGAGAGCTATACCGAAGGCTTGGAGAGCGCACAGCGGATACCTAAAATCCATAGTGAAGACATCTTCGGATATACGACCGAACTGCATCACCACGTATTCGGGATCCGAATCGTGAACTATCTGAAAGTTTTTTACACTTGCCTGCGTCACCCTTCCGTGGAAATTGAGCACGTATGATTGTGTTTCTTCATTCCACACCGGCGTCTTGTTGTGAAGCACCACGATGTCGTCATAGTTTTGACTCTTCAGTCGTTCTAATAGGGTCTCGCTGTCGTCTTGCGGCACGATGGCCACTCGCTGCCGATCGGGCGTCATTCCCGGTAGGATCACGGTCATTTTGCGCGGTCCCTTGAATCCCAGAACATTGGTGTCCTGCAAGAAATAAAACTTTGTCTACAACAGCTACAGAGTTCACTCAGACTCATTAAACACAGAGGGAGGATACATTAATACACTCATTTCAATCATTTTTGTTAATTGTAATATTTTAAGCTCACATATTGTCACTTATGCACAATCCATGAATTTCTGTTTAATTTTTGTTTATTAATTTTCTATTGTATCTGAAGTAAAGTTGTTGTATTCTTTGTAAGAGGAGCACTGCTGCTTGAGATACAGATTTTATCACCTAGTTCAAGCACAGATACAAATTATGATTGTGTTTCTACGTCTATATTAACAATAAATAAATAAATTTATACTAATATTATAAAGCTGAAGAGTTTGTTTGAACGCGCTAATCTCAGGAACTACTGGTAGAAGGGTAGGATTAGAAAAAATATTTCAGTGTTAGATAGCCCATTTATTGAAGAAGGCTATAGGCTATATAACATCGGTAAGACCAATACAAGTGGAGCAGCAATAAAGTATTTTTCAAAATAGGGGTTTTAAATAGCTGCATAACATTCTATAATTCAAAAATATTTTCACTTTCTACATAAATAAAGTGCGGTGTAAAATTTTGGGTTTCGCTTAAGTAACTATTTCACGGACGGAGTCGCGAGCAAAAGTTAGTAAATAAATAAATAAAAGAAGAAAGAAAGAAAGAAAAAGTAATTACGTGATTTTTATTCTCGAACTGTCATTATCATAGTCCGAGCGAAGACCTCGGATCTAGACCATACAGACTACAGAGGTCACTCACGTAAATAATAGAGGCCAGTTCGTATCTCGTTTTCGCGTGGTCGTGTTTCCGCCAGGCTTTCCCGTTGTCGTACACGGTGAAGGCGGTCCCGAGCAGGTTGGAGCGGAGCTTGCCGGCGAAGCTGTCGGCCTGGCGGGTCAGCTCCGTCGGGTCGGTCGATATCAGGTAGTTCGATGTGGCGGACTTTTTCCGCTTGCGAGCTGCCGAAGCATTCATTAAATTGATAAGTCGATAATGGTCAATTGACAACGAATACTGGTGGTAGGACCTCTTGAGAATCCGCGCGGGTAGGTACCACCGCCCTGTCTATTTCTGCCGTGAAGCAGTAACGCGTTTCGGTTTGAAGGGTAGGGTAGCCGTTGTAACTACGATACTGAGATCTTAGAACTTATATCTCAAGGTGGGTGGCGCATTTACGTTGTAGATGTCTATGGGCTCCAGTAACCACTTAACACCAGGTGGGCTGTGAGCTCGTCCACTCATGTAAGCAATAAAAAAAAGTTGTTAACTGATTGAAGTATGCCGAGTTAGGAAATTTTATTAATTTAATGACTAGAGTAGTTAGTGACAGTATAATATACAAGGCCTCACATGTTTACGTAGTCCAAACTAATTTCGTCAATACATATAACCTAAAAAAATTACTGTGGTAAAACGTAAAGACATCGATTGCATTTTCTTATCAGTTTTAAATAAAATACTTTTTGTGATTTCCGCTTACAGATCTTTCGTTCTTTTTTTTCTATCTTATTCCAATAACATGCAGCGCCTTTTTTTAAATTTACCCGGTTGCTACTGTAGCGCCACCCTTATTTAGCAGATTTTAACGGACACTTTTTACACACAGAGACGATTCTCCTTACTTCTGCCCTCCATAATGTACATACAATTTAACATGATAAAGTAATAAATAAAATAAAATAGAACAAACACATTTGTGTTTATATTTATGTATTTACATATTTAGGATTTTATGTAAAAAAAAGGTACTTTATTATTGTTGTATGTTATTCTATTTGTTTTATTTTTATATTGGTGTACAATAAAGCACTCTGTATTCGGGAAATCTATATTTTATAATGGCGGAATCTATTTGTGTTCTGACAAGTCGGTTGGAATTTATATTTTGTTCATTTTAGAGCAGTATTAACGATACTTATGTATTACTAGCTGCACCCGTCCGTTTCGCTGGGCATATAAATTTAACATTATTATTTCTCACCCCCACAAAGATTCACATCATTAACGCCCCCGCAACTGGTGTAGGGAGTCGAACGCTCATATAAATATTAGCCTATTCATTAAGTACATGTATTTTCTACATGGATACCAAGTTTCAAGTCAATCGGATGCATGGTTCAGTAGTTATAACGGAACATTCGTAAAAATCACTGTAGATTTACATATTAGTATAGATTCAGAAAATATCTTACCGGCTAGTAAAAATACTTTTTTTCCGTAATCTTTCTCCAAATGTAGGAAGTAAGTAGGATACAGACCGCGGTCCATTCCTTTCCTGTCCCTAGCTATGCGACACTTGTACAATGTACCGTGCTTCGCTGGGGTAGTTACGAAGGTTTCCACTGCGCCTTCAACGGATCCTTCGATTTCAGCCGTCTGTAATGTGTATAAATAGTTCCAATTAGTTTTATTACTGGTGGTAGGACCTCTTGTAGGTCCGCGCGGCTAGGTTCCACCCACCCTGCCTATTTCAGCCGTGAAGCAGTAATGCGTTTCGGTTTGAAGGGTGGGGCAGCCGTTGTAACTATACTGAGACCTTAGAACTTCTATCTCACGGTGGGTGGCGCATTTACGTTGTAGATGTCTATGGGCTCCAGTAATCACTTAACACCAGGTGGGCTGTGAGCTCGTCCACCCAACTCAGCAATAAAAAAAAATCCAATAGAAAATTATTTTTTCTCTAATTACAGGTGAAAGAAACGATCAACCAATCAGATGGCTAATTCGTTATTCATTTATTTATATTAGTGGTCCCGCATTAGTCGAAATTCGACTTTCATAATAATTACATAATTGAAATTTTATGTTTAAACAATTTTTTTTTTTTTTGTTGCTTTGTAAGCTTTCGCTGTTAGCCTGAAGGGTTAGAGCAGTGATTATCAAACTTATTTCTTTTACCGCCCCCTTTGAAAATCAATTACTTTTCAGCGCCCCCCATTTTTTATACACCCCTAAAACTTTAAAACCACAATTTCATTAATTTAATTATAAATGTTGTATTAATTTTAGTAAATGTAGTACCACGTAGTACATAATTATGTATTTGTAGATGCTATTATTGTTTCTTCATATTATTATAATATGTCCGTACATTGCTACAGAGCGTGTATTTACAAAGCAAAGTAAAAATGAATTCTTCTCATCAATATGTTTGTTTAAATTCAGAATCACCAAAATAAATTGCTAGTTCACTGTACTATTACTATGCTAATTTATTAGAACGAAACTATTTTTGTTGAATATCTTTCTCATTAATATAAGATTCTCATCATAAGATAATTAAAAATTTATATTTCGATTAGTAAATAATACTACTAACAATAATAACTTATTAAACTACGAATAAGCTAAACCTGGAAGTCGTAGAGGATTTCATTCATCTGGGCTCCGTCACAGCTAGTAATGGATCCTCCGAAAAGGACCTCAGAAGGCGAATCAGTGTGGCAAAGAGAGCTATGTCCCAAATGGACCGTGTTTGGGCGGACAGAAACATCTCGAGGAATACCAAAAAGCAGCTCGTCACCCCCATCGTCTTTTCCATTTTTCTCTACGGCGCAGAGACTTGGACCCTCAAGAAAGCCGATCGCCAACGCATCGACGCGTTTGAGATGTGGTGCTGGAGGAAAATGCTCGGGATTCGTTGGACAGAACACAGAACCAACGAATCCATTCTTACCGAGCTCAAGATTCCAATGCGCCTCAGCACTACATGCGCGCGGAGAAGTTTTGAGATCTTTGGACATATCGCCAGAAAGAGAGGTGACAATCTGGAAAAGCTGCTGGTAACAGGCAAGGTATGCGGGAGAAGACACAGAGGCAGAAATCCAATGCGCTGGTCGGACCAAATACGCTCCACTCTCAATATCTCAGTCCACGTTACTATCCACACAGCCGAGGACAGGCAGGAATGGCGCAAGATGATGCAGGAGAAAGTTATTAGAGGAGGCCACGACCCTCAGCACTGAGGATTATCGACGCAAGAGGGAAGGAAACTATGAAAAATAAATTAATATCATTTCGTATTATATTAATGGGTAATTTTTTATAGAATTTTAGTTTATAATTCAGAACTGGTTCAAATAAAAACCGCCGCCTAAGTCAGCGTTTTTATTATTTGTAATAATTAATATCTATACTAATATTATAAAGAGGAAAGATTTGTTTGTTTGTTTGTATTCAATAGGCTCCGAAACTACTAAGCCGATTTGAAAATTTCTTTCACTGTTTGGAAGCTTTATTATTCCCGAGTGACATAGACTATAATGTTTTTTTGAAAAAAATTAGGTATCCTTACTAAAACTCCAATAATTTAACCCAAGGTGTAAAAAAAATTTCCTAAAATATTCTTTACGTCGCGTACCTACGAAAACTATTGATGATAGAATAAAATAATGTACTACGACTTTGTAGAAAACATTATTATTTACAAAAAGTGTCGCGACAGCATATGTCTAACCATTATAGTTATGCCGCAATAAGTGATCTTTTATTTAAAAAAATGCCCCTGGTAAGACACGGAGTGCCTGCACGGAGTGAAGGACAGATCGGTCACGTGTACTGGACACGGTGGGATCGTGCACAGGCTCCCGGTCGTGCGCGATGTTCCACAGGGGTCGGTGCTCGGCCCCCTTTTGTGGAATATCGGGTATGACTGGGTACTGAGAGGTGCCCTCCTCCCGGGCCTAATCGTGATCTGTTACGCAGACGATACGCTGGTCGTGTGGGGGGGGGGGGTTGCTCGTCTTGCCAGCGCTGGGGTGGCGCATGTCGTCGGCAAAATCAGGAGATTGGGCCTCGACGTGACACTCAGTAAATCCGAGGCCATGTGGTTCCACAAGCCCCGGAGTGCCACCTGTTGATGCCCATATCGCGGTTGGAGGCGTCCGTATCGGGTCGGGGTGCAGTTGAAGTACCTCGGCTTCATTCTGGACAGTCCTTGGACCTTCCGTGTTCACTTTCAGAACCTGGTCCCTCGTTTCTTGGGGGTGGCCGGCGTGTTAAGCTGGCTTCTTCCCAACATCGGGGGGCCTGACCAGGTCACGCGCCGTCTCTATACGGGGTTGGTGCGGTCAATGGCCTTATACGAGGCGTCCGCGTGGGGCCAGTCACTGGCCGTGGGGGGTAGCGAAGTTGCTGCAACGGCCGCAACGCACCATCGCGGTCAGGATCATCCGTGTTTATCGCACCATCTCTTTCGAGGTGGCGTGTGTACTGGCTGGGACGCCGCCTTGGGTCCTGGAGGCGGAGGCCTCTGACTATCAGTGGCGGGCTAACCTTCGTGCCCAGGGCGTGGCGCGTCCCAGCCCCAGTGTGGTCAGAGCGCGGAGGGCCCAATCTCGGCGGTCCGTGCTGGAGTCATGGTCCAGGCGGCTGGCCGATCCTTCGGCTGGTCATAGGACCGTCGAGGCAATTCGCCCGGTTCTTGTGAATTGAGTGAATCGTGACAGAGGACGCCTCACTTTCCGGCTCAAGCAGTTACTCACTGGGCATGGTTGCTTCGGTGAGTTCCTACACCGGATCGGAGCCGAGCCGACGGCAGAGTGCCACCATTGTGGTTGCGACTTGGACACGGCAGAGCATACGATCGCCGCCTGCCCCGCATGGGAGGGGTGGCGGCGTGTCCTCGTCGCAAAAATAGGAAACGACTTGTCGTTGCCGAGTGTTCTGGCATCGATGCTCGGTGACGACGAGTCGTGGAAGGCGATGCTCGACTTCTGCAAGTGCACCATCTCGCAAAACGAGGCGGCGGGGCGCGTGAGAGATGCACAGGCCCGCCCCCGTCGAGCGGGGTCCAGGGAGGCGGATCTCGCCCAAGCCCTGGCCCTCCTAAGTGTTTCGGGTCTCCCTCACATGTCGGCCTGGGGACCGGCGAAGGGGGCCTAAGAAGACGACGCCGCGACGTGCAAGCTGCTCTGCATACGTTTTACGTATGAGCATCCGGGTGATGGAAGGCCGGCTATCCCCAACCCGCCCTGGTTCTGACCCAGCGGGGTATTCCGTAGGATAGACCATTCTAACCGGCGCCATCTAGGCGGGCTTCGGACAGCCTGCCGACCGAGAGGGCTGGTGGTTGTGGCGCCGACGACCGCCAGTCCGGCATCCCGAGGGGGAGGGTGATGGGAGAGATGTGCTCCGCACTAAGCACTTCACTTTCCCCCCTTTGCCTTTTCATGAGCTCTGTCTCATGCGAGGTTTGGATGCTGGTTGTTGAGCGACAGGAGGTTTTAGTCGGTTAGTGAAAGGCGGAAATCCGGCGATTTCCACCTGACACAAAAAAAAGTGTGGCACTCGGGAACTGCGGCGGTAAAGCTGTTGCATAGCATTTTTTATCAACTTATGACATTATAATTAGACAATGATAATTTAATATTAAAACAATAATAAAACAAGGCCACGCTATATTAAACCTTAATAAAGGCAAAACCTTAACTGTCCCCTTCACACTCATAAGCTAAAGCGCGTGAGAGAGAGATGGGCAGACTTTTTAGGATTTGCATGCAGTGTGACATCACGCCACGCGCTTATTCACAAACACACACGCGCAACGTGTGAATGTGTTGAACGCGAGCTACATGGTAGGCGGAGTGAGGGGTGTTAGGTTTTTTTCGTTACGGAATTTCATGATTCGGTCGCCGCGCTCAAGGCCCGCGATAAAAGCTATGCAAGAGCTTAAAAATGTATGAACTTGTAATAAAATCTCTTTGGCTATACTATTTGTATCTGGCTGGTTTTGGTATCATTAAAAGTTTAAATTCGAAAGAAGATAATTCCAAATTAAAATTAGGAAGATGTGTGATTTTTATTTATTTTTCGTACTGTCAAGATGAGTGAATCTAATGAAGACAATCGATACATTTGAAAATTTTACTACAAAAAAAGGAAAAAAGCAACGCAAGCCGTGAAAAAAATTTGCGATGTTTATGGACCTAGTGGTGTGTCTGTGAGAGTAGCACAAATTTGGTTTAAGCGTTTTCAATCCGGAAATTTTGATGTCAAAAATGCACGTCGCTCTGGTCGCCTTATTACGGATAAAATCGATGCCATTTTTGAAAAAGTGGGGCAAGATCGGCATATCAGTAGTTCAACGTAACTGAAGAACTAGGAATTGACCACAAAATAGTAATGGCGCATTTGAAAAAAACTGGGTACACAAAAAAGCTCACTGAAAGAAACCTAATGAACCGTATACTAATTTGTGATTCTTTATTACGACGTAATGAAACCGAACCATTTTTGAAGAAGCTGATAACTGCTGATGAAAAGTGGATCACGTACGACAAGAACGTACGAGAAAGGTTGTGGTCAAAGGCCGATCAGGCTTCACAGACTCTGGCGAAACCCAGGTTAACTCGCAACAAGGTGATGCTGTGTGTGTGGTGGGATTGGAAGGGCATTATACATTATGAGCTGTTACCACCAGGCAGGACCATCGATTCTGAACTCAACTGCGAACAACTAATGAGATTAAAGCAAGAAGTTGAGAGAAAGCGGCCGGAATTATACAACAGAAGGGGTGTGGTTTTTCATCACGATAACGCTAGACCTCACACATCTTTAGCCACTCAGCAAAAATTAAGAGAGCTTGGCTGGGAGGTGTTATAATGCATCCGCCATATAGTTTTGACCTTGCACCTTCAGATTTCTACCTGTTTCGGCCTCTTCAGAATTCTTTAGGCAGTGTCAGGTTAACATCACGAGAGGACTGCCAAAACCAATTGTCGCGGTATTTTGATCAGAAGCCCCAAAATTTCTATAGCAATGGGATCATGTCCCTACCTACAAGATGGCAAAAAGTTATCGAACAAAATGGTACCGACATACTTTACTTAAATGTGAATAAATTATATTAAAAAATGTGAATTTTCTTAAAAATTGCGAAGGAACTTTTTCCCCAATCTATTATTATATAGAAATAAAATAGTAAACAATGTTTACAATAAGTGAGCTGTTTAGGCTTACTATACTATACTATTTGACATTGGACGGTAATGGGTAAATTGTAAAAAATAATAATCTAAGACAAGTTTTTGAACAATAATTATATAAGCAGTTCCATTTTATATAAAAATTATGATTCTTACATCAGTAATTTCTTATAACATGCTAGGAAAATGCTTTAAAATGCCCTTATGTTAAAAACAAGAAAGAAAGTAAAGAAAACCTCAATTTGTGTTAGTTTACGTATGTGTAATATTTTAAAACTCTGCATGGTAGTTTTTTTTCTTTCTAATGTTTAAAATAATTTCTGGCGCAATGTAATTAAGGTAAAATTGCTCTAATTTTTTAACTATCATCGATCATGTTCCGCAGAATCTTGTTACAACTTGATTGCGTACGGTGTGTGGGCTATCCTACGAAATCTATGTTAATTACAGTCAAACCTGGATAAGCGAGAGTTCAAGGGAGCACAATCTCATTCTCGCTTATAGAGGTTTCTCACTAAACCGAGTTTCTCTCTAATGCACTCTCTGAATTTCATTTCGCGGTTTTCCGGATTGAAACGCATTCACTATTTTAAGTTTATCACTTAATGACAGTACATTAATTTTCCGTTTTAATATGATGCAGAACAGAACTTTCCTTCGCAATTAACGATAAAAAAAAAAGAGTAAGGCCGACAAAGAGAACGGTACACAGGCACACGTGTCCATTCGAAAAGAATGCGATAAAATAACAAGGTTATTTAGTTTCACACAAGGTTCAATATTGACGAGAAAACAATACAAAAACAATGGTAGGAAGTTCCATGAAAGCTACGAATGAGTCATAAAATAGCTGAATTTGTTTTGTCATTTGTTCCTCCTAAATAATATATTTAAATAAAGCTCGACTGTCGCTTATAGAGGTAAAGATAAGTAGCAGTCTCACTTACGGAGGTCCATAAGGGAAAAACGACTCTCTCTTACAGAGGTTTCTGTTTCTCGCTAATAGAGGTTTTGGGAGCTTAAAATGACGGGTCCTGGCTATTACTCTCACTTATAGAGTTTTCTCACTTATCCAGTTCTCACTTACCCAGGTTTGACTGTATTTTAAGTTTTTATAACATCATACAGCGTAGAAATATAAACTAATTATTCGTTATTGTGTAGTAGGTGAGTTTTAATTTTAGTAAAATTTAAAATACTATAAAGTAAATGAAATTACAAATTTTACAGCGCCCCCCTAACCCACATCAACGCCCCCCATTTTTTCCTGGACCCCTTAACGCCCCCCTCTAGGTTTCAAACGCCCCCCAGGGGGCGTTATCGCCCACTTTGAGAAAGACTGGGTTAGAGTAACTATTCCTGCTTCGCGCGGACGAGATTCTATGAATCATTTCAGTTCATTATACAATGGGTTTTATTTATTATTATAGAGATAGATTAGATAGGTAGGGCGAAAGTAGCTACCCGTACATTTTACTATTATGTTATTTACTAGTATAATAAATAATGTTAAAATTTAAGTCGAACAATTTTATTGAGTGTAGGATGTATTATGTTAGTTTTACTAACCGGCTCTGAATTTCTGCTGCCATACAAATATGTGATCAGGTTACTGTTTTTTTTTTTTTTCTTTGAATATGGATAGAGATTAGGAAGGTGGAAAGTACAAATCAGAGGCGGCTTTACCTATGGCACGGAGGGTGGGAGTGCCGGTCTCAGTACTGTCGATTTTTTTCCCCTACATATGCGGATAGACTTCAGAGGCTATTTCAGATACATCCTAACGTGTAGGTGAGCTTACGGGGCTCAAAACGGACTAACACTGACCCTAGCAAGAGCAGTTCTTCGCAGAATCTACCACCGGATCGGAAACGCGACCCACTGAGAAGATCCAGCGAGAAACTCAGGGGGCTGTGTCTATGGGTTAATTTACTCGTCGAGCCCTCCGTCGCAGTTCAGTGATGCGTATCTATGTTTTATACACATTTATACACCCGCACCTTTTTATGAAATAAGTACCCTTACTAATATAGTACAATCATATTATAACTTTTAGCTGTTCGACATTTCACCCTGCACACGAAATTTTGTCAATATAAATTGTTTGAAGGTTTTATATAAATCCGATTTTAGCCTCTTGTTTCAATAATAATGTGAGTGAATAATGGCAAACACAATGAACAGCCCTACTTTAGTGACGTTATTTGTGGTTGACTCAGTGCAAGCCGAAACATTAACCACAAAATTCTGAATAATCTTACTAGTTTCAGCAGAATTTTAAACAATAGTGGGCAGGCTGATATTGAATTGATTGATTCATATAAACATAGATCTTCCGATGGAAATATATTTTATACAAAGCTATGGACAATTTTTTATTTAAATATTCAGTCTTAGCCATAGCAGAAGCAAAACATACCTGACTAGGAGAATCGTCTCTCCTTGGTACCCTGGCCTGCATCGGTGCTACTGCAGCATCAGCACATATATCATCTGTACTTGCATCCCGTCCGACACTACACACTGGCACACTCTCTTCTTCCTCTTCACCACTGTTGTCATCATCAATAGTTAATACTTCTATTTGATTTCCGAGTTCTGTAGAATTAATTCACTGTGTTATTCTTTGTTGTGCTGCATTCTTTTTTTTTCAATCTCCTACCCTAGTCTAATTTATATTCTATTTTATGATATGTATGACAAATTTAGGTTTCAATTGGAATTTGCTCTTGAATCATGTATACCAATATTCATAATAGGAAGTATCCATAAAAATTCGTGGCTGATAAACCTACGAGTAGGTTGATTGTGTATTATATATAAATAATACAGAAATAACTTTGCATAGCATATGTATGAACCGAATTAAGCAGAAACACATGATTTTGAATTGATTCATTAAATGTGCAGTGTTATAAATTTCTTAATAATCACAGAGAAGTCTGAACAAGTTATATAATTTATTTATATAAAATATATATACTTTGGACACAGAGCCAAGTATAGGGAAATAATTACTGAACAATGAGACAGTTCTGGTTGATTATGAGTACTGTGGATTTTGTGTGTCATTTATAACATTTGAAATCTAAACAGAGTGACACATTGTAAATAACAAACAAGATTCACAAACACTCAACCACAACATGTAATCATGGGTTTAAAAAAATGTAGTTATATTGATGTGACTAACAAGTAGCTTTTTAATAGTTTTTTTTTTTCCTACAGGTGCTGATAGCCTTGGGGGGCTATTTCAGCTTCACCCTAACGTTTGTAGGTGAGCTCATGGGGCTCAACCGGAGAGTTGCTAACACTGACCCTAGCAAGAGCAGTGCTTTGCAGAATCTACCACCAGATCGGAAACGCGACCCACTGAGAAGATCCGGCGAGAAACTCAGTGGGCAAATAATAGTAAGAATTTAAGCTCAGCACTACTCATGTAGAGATACAAGCTCCATTTCCTAAATTGTCTTTCTCTTTTTATTTGGTTCTAATATAATATTTTATTTCAAGAAATGGAAAGAATGACATAACATTGATACGAGCGCTTATAGTGCAGTCATCATCATCATTCCTTCCTATTACCCTCTGCTGGGGTGTAGGGCTCGAATCAAATTTTTCCATTTACATTTATTTATAGTGCAGTGAGCATTTCAAATTGATTATTAGTATTTTTTGTAATTATTATCACATACAAAGTTAGATACAAGTATGACTTAATTTAGTCAATTTTTGTAAGAATGATTGGTATTAATAATGATAGCTTTAATTTTTTTTAAGTATTAGGTTGTACAATAATTCATCATAAGCCCGTTTAACTTCACTTACCGTCATATGTTGATATTCTATTAGTTTGGAGAGGTATAACTTGATCTGGGTTTACAGGTGACATGAGAAATTGCATCGGACCATCATAGCCTGTTTTGAAACGAAAAAAAAATGCGCATAACGAAAATTAGTATAATCATGCAAAGCAATAAGTTATGAATACAACATTTATAGTAATGATTTTTATTGTCAATGAATTTTACTCACCATGTAGTTCCCGGCTACGACTACCTGATATGGGCCGTTTTGCTGACCCTACTCTCAAATCGTTTGCTTGAACCATTCCTGAATTTTGCCTTTTCTGTTTCATTTTAAGTTCCATCAACTGACGCTAAAATACACATTTTATTAAATGAATATTCATTTTATTTGCTTGTTGTAAAAATATGTAAAACCACAATTTATTTTCAAATTTGAAATATAAGGAATGAAATTTATTTACTTGCTGTTCGATTTTTTGATCACGAACGTTTACTGATGCCATTTTTTCAATATTGTAACGACATTCACTGCTCCTGGTATTGTTTATTCTAATTAATCACAATAGGACTAAACTATTTAGTTTACTTGATTGTAATTCGCATTTTCTAAGCTCATTTTTTGTTTATAAATCATCTTCCCTACCGTTGCCCAGGAAAATAATGTTGTCAGATAAAAAGAGAATTTAAAATTACTTCAGTTGAGCGAGTAATAAGACTAGATGGCGTAACCATATCATAAAGAAAATACAAAATACAAAACTTTTATCAAAAGTTGAATTATTTGATCGAGTAAACAAAACAATAAAATCGATTCCACACAAATTGAAAAAAATTGGAGTCATCTGCAATTTGCGATCTAACTGTTATTAATCTTATAAATAATAATATCACAAGCTTCCATAGCCAGAAATACTTGGTGATGGTACAAAAATACGTGCGTTTCCATTTCGAATTTGGGCCGATAATCTATTCACCATGATTAGGTTTTTTATACTTTTATCCACAATAACTAATCAATGGAAGAGTAGTACCTACATTCGCTTAATAATCTATATATTAATATAGATAAATGTTCGAAAATTTCATAACTATATTTTCGTGAGACAATGTTGGGCGCTATCTTTTCCGAATTCCGATTGTTACGCTGCTCTTCTCCTTTCTTTTTCTTCTTAGTTATTTAAATAATATGATTGTGCTTTAACAATTTCTTGTTAGGGTGAGTCTTAGCATACTCTCTCAGGTTGAGCCCCATAAGTTCACGTATCAGACTTACCGTAGCTAGAACAGCCCCTTAGGCTACCAGCAAATAGGTAGGGGAAAAAAATCAAATTTTCTGAATCTTAATTCAAAATCTGTCATGTTTTTGTCAATAGTATTACCAGTGCTAAATAATCAATTGATTTAAATGTACCTATTTCTAATTTTTTCACTCTGACAAGTCTGACTCTGTCTGACAGTCAATTGGGAAAATGGCTCCTGCTCGGAGTGCTCTGGGATTTTTAAATTCAAGAACTTTTAATTCATTATTAACTAATACTATACCTAAAACTACTTATAGATTTTTACATAAATGTAATAATTGTGAACGTTTTGTTGGAAGCCACGCCATATCGGATACTTCTTTCAAAACTTGTAAGTCTCACATGCCGTATTTTTCATTACATCACTTTTTTGCTTTATATCAAAAACGATGTAGTTTAACAAATTACCTTAAATGTATACGATTTGGTAACGGCTATAAGTTCCTCACAGAAGAAATATTCAATTAAAATCTCCAATGTCAAACTTGAGATATAACCTATATAAACTTTGTTCAGATAATTTCCCGAAACATCGACATATTCACACTACAAATAATCTATATAACCGCGCCGATTATTATAAAGTACTCGGTGTATCCAAAAATGCATCGGCCAAAGACATCAAGAAGGCATACTATCAACTTGCGAAGAAATATCACCCTGACGCCAATAAATCGGACCCAGAAGCTTCGAAAAAGTTTCAAGAAGTATCTGAAGCCTATGAGGTACCTTATCTTTCCTAAATAAAATGTAATGTTTATTTAAGCCAGTGGTCTGAAACACCTATTCCAGTAGGTATTCATTTGAACATTTGGCATTTGTGATTTTTTCAGATATTATCAGATGAAAATAAACGTAAACAATATGACACATATGGCACAACGTCCGAACAAATGGGCATGGGTGGCCCCGGAGGCCCTGATGGTTTCACCCATCAGTGGCAGTACAAATCGACAATAGACCCTGAAGAATTGTTTAGGAAGATTTTTGGAGATGCTGGCTTCAAGAGTGATACTTTTAGTGATTTTGCTGAAAGTCAATTTGGGTTTGGCGCAGCTCAAGAGGTTAGTAACTGTTAAAAGTACCATCTGAATATGAACTAGATAGCAACCAAAGACATTGCAATTATATATAAAAAATAAACATTGACTTTACTATTACATTAAATATTAGAGTTCACCTGATAAGACTGTTAATTTACAGATTATAGTAAATTTGAGGTTCACTGAAGCAGCTCGAGGTGTTAACAAAGATGTCAATGTTAATGTTGTTGACACCTGTCCAAAATGCCAAGGTTCTCGTTGTGAGCTAGGAACAAAAGCTATAAGATGCACATATTGTAATGGAACTGGAATGGAAACATTTTCAAGAGGTAAATACTTAAATACAGGTCACCCTCCTATAACACAGTAGATATATTTATACACAGTCTTGTATTGTGTGAAATAGTGTTGTATAAGATTAGAAGTACTGGCAAAAGGAGATTAATTTTTCTGAATGAAACATTTCAACTATGCTATATATTGTGTGCTCAGTGCATAATGGAATTTCCTAAATAATTAAAAAAATCTCATTGTCGTATTGTAGAATACTGTGTTAAAGGAGGGATACCAGTATAAGTATAAAATATTTTTAAGCTTAATTAAGTCTCTCAATACAACAAAAGTGATGTTGCTGCAAAATCACAATGAATCTAAAGAATTTTATGATATTGTTATATACACTATCTCCAAAACAGTTACATAATATTGGTGGTGGTGTGAGTTGTGATCCTAATAGTTACCTTACCACCAGTTGCTTATTCCTATGAGGTTTTAAGGGTAGCAGTCATATAAAAAAAATATTTAATTTTCATTTTTCTTAATAATATTGTCTATAAGCTCTACTAATCTCTAAAAACAGGGTCAGGTTCAGCTTATATGTGGCAAGATTGTAATTAGTGTGAAAGGCCACAGAACATATCATTGAACCTAAAATTCTTACAGGTCCATTTGTAATGCGCTCAACATGCAGACATTGTCATGGTACAAGAATGTTGATAAAATACCCGTGTGTTGAATGTGAAGGAAAGGGACAGTCTGTAAGTAGATAATTTAAAATTTTTACTGTTGGTATAGCATGTTTTCGACCTATAAAGAAAAGCCACAAGCAAACCAGCAAGTAAATTTCTCATCATGCTGAAGCACTGATCATACTACTGCATAAAAAGCCATGTAATTAAAAAGATGTGGATAGATCAAAAAGATAGCATGAATGGCAGAAGAAAATCTTTAAATTTCATAATTACAGTGAAAATTACTGGCATATGAAGTATCTAATTATTTATTAATACAATTAATTAAATTAAGACTATTTAACATAAGAAATATCAACATTATGTACTGATGGTAATTATTATGTCCCTTGGACGTTGAAATTATTGCTGTAAAGGAAATAAAATCTATTATTATTAGGATTTATTTATTTACGATAAATAAACAACATATTTTTTATAATTCTTCAAAGTTGAGTAACTCGAACAAAACAAAGTCTATGGGGATTATATCTTTAATGATTAATATGATTATAAGACTTCATAATTTGATAAGGTTTTTTTTTGTCATCTCTTGTCTCAAAAATATAATGAATGAATCCACTTAATCTCATAATTATGGACTTTTGATATAAGTAAAAAAATTCTGTGTAAAATACAACATTAACATAAAAATATATTTTCAAAGTTTATTATGATCTGTATTTATTAGTCTGTTTTGTACGTCCTCATATTTAAAAATTTAAATAAATGTATGTACAGTCAAAATCTGTTATAACGACATCGAAGGGACTGCTCATATTCAGTCGTAAAAACCGATAGTCGTAACAACCGGTGATGTATAATGTGTATCGTGCAAGTACAAACAAATCGATAGGGAATTATTGGAAAAATATATTTATATAATACGCGATTTTTCTTCAATATTAATTTGTTTTATTTTTCTTTGCGACATTTTGAAAGTTTCACGAATAACTCCACAAAGTTTTGGTGTGTCTTGTGTATAGATAAGTAACAAACTAACTGAAGAGATATAAAGAAGCGGGCTTTGACTACCGCAAACAAGAATTATAAAAGACCCTACACTAAACTAAATCCTATTGTTTTCTTTCCTGATTTTAAAAGCCATTGAAGACAAATGTGGATACCTATTCAAATTGTTTACAATACAGCTTAGCCGTTCGTTCTAACAGATCTAATTCTCCGAAATATTAGTTAAATGTGGTCGTTTTATGAGGTATGTCGTTATTACCAATGTCGTAGAAAGCAATATTTTTAATAAGGCGGTCATATGGCATTCAGCCGGGACCTTTGTTCTTGGTTATTATAACCGGCATGTTGTATTAAACTATGTCGCAGTAAACGGTTTTGACTGTATTTATGTTTTAAACAAGATGAATCTAATTCGAGCTATCTCTGAATAATCAAATAATAATACTGCTTGACATCTTGAATTACTTTAATTAATTTTGAAATATCAGTGACTGCTATGTATCTCAAACTGTATTCTTAACATTTTAAATTTAATGTCTATGCTACTTTTATCTCTAAGCCTTTAAATAAGATATATGGGTGATTTTAAAGCAAAATATGATCAGAATATACCACACTAGTATTTATTGTGGTTTAAAATATAAGATATCTATGTACCAAGTAAATATATTTATTTATGTACCTTCAACCTCATTTCTAGCTAGTGATTGTCACCTCTTGAAGGCTTTGGAGTCCAATTAAAACCGGAATATCTGTGATCTGTCTAGTGCTATTAAAATCAAGAAGAAAACAGAATTAATTTGTATTCCTTATATCATCTTTTCTGTATTTTGAATAGGTACAACGTAAAAAAATAACAATACCTGTGCCAGCTGGTGTGGAAGATGGTCAGACAGTGCGTATGTCGGTTGGAAACAATGAATTATTTATCACATTTAAAGTGGAGTCTTCTAATTATTTCAAAAGAGACGGTCCTGATGTACATACTGATTGTACAGTAAGTAAAAAGCATGTATTTAAGCATAGTTTTTTTCCATTTTATTGCCATTGTAGGCAGACTTGTATAAGGTCCATCTGATGAGTGGTTAAGGACGTCAGTGATGCCAGGGGCACAGCCAAATTGTTGCCTCGTAAAACTTGTATTTGAGGGAACATTGGTAATGGGAATTCTAAAATGTTAATAGTGGACTAAAATGCCTTTAAATTGCTTATCTTAAATACTGCTGAGATTATTAATGTGAAAGTTTGTATGTTTGTCACTCATACACTTAATGATTGAAAAGATTTTTATGAAATTTTATACAAGAGTTTTTTATTATCT